GAGAGAGAGAGAGAGAGAGAGAGAGAGAGAGAGACCATCGAGGGAATACACAGCAAAAAAAAAAATTGCCTTGTAATAAATGTTACCTATCTAAACAATTCCAGATGCAAACTTCTGCAAAGTTACAGGCTCCAAGTTTGACAAACAATTCAATAATTATATGCTGCACTCGTGCTCATACAGCACGAAGCATACCTCACAAAAATGTCTGCAAACGCTTGTCCAAAGAAGGCCTGGTTCGCCTGTTCGGTGTCGGTTTCCGAACGGCATGTGGCCGCCGCACGATTACACAGAACACACCTGTTGCAGCTATCGACTCTCCATGCACGCCACCCCGCCCCTCCCCGCCCCGCCGCGCCCCTCCGGCGGCGGCGGCGGCGCGGCTTCATTTGGTTCGCGCCGTTCCGAGAGGTCGGGCAGACCGGAGCCTCGCCCATTGAGGGCCGCCGTGTGCGGCACGACTAACGATCCCGGCCAGACAAAGAGATGAGCCGCTCGCAGATCGGCGCGCCGCCGCCGCCGACCGGGGCACGGCAGCGCGCCGCCGCCGCCGCCGCGACGGATTAGCCGCCGTCGCAGCCGGCATCCGAACGAGAGCGGAAACCGCAGCTTTGGCCGCCAACACCGCCGCGGGAATGACAATGCCCGCCGAGAAATGGCAAAAGGCAGATACGGATAACTGCGCGATTCAGAAATGAATGTTGTTGAGATAACTTCAGGCAATTAGTGTAATGTGACTGCAGTCCTATCGTAAAAATTATAGCGGCATCCATAAACTCAAGTGCATGATGCTTGCTCTAAGTGGCATAGTCTTCACAATGCAAAAAGGACTTAGAGTCAGGCTGACGAAGACGTAGTGTTCTTTCCAAGTTTTTCATAACCTTTGCACAGCATTCAGATAGGATTGTCACTAACCCTGAGTTAAATCGATCAGCAATTGCAGATTCAGAAATTACGATTTGTAACGCTGGGGGAGGCAAACATCAATAAAAAGGTTCTCATATTACCACCACCTTTCCTCGAGCCTGCACATTGACCAGCGCAAACCAAATCAGATGACTTTTGTGATCCCCGCCATTCGGTAGCTGGACTGACAAGTGCCACTGGCTGTGATGAAGGTGGCGTCGAATCAATTTTCTTCACTCTATGTAACAAAATCCATGGATACAAAGGGTGGGTATATTTGTACGAAAAATATATCGTTATCAGCTCACAATACTTCAAGCATAGGGGAGAGTGGGGTAAGATGCCCAGGGTGCAGGAAAGACGCCCCACCCCCTCTAGCGGGGAAACAAAGAATCGAACCTGGAAATTAATGTTCTTAGCGTAAAGCGGAAGCTTGCCTTGTTACCTGCACAAAAATTTGCGAAGCTCAGTTGGGCAACGGCTGGCTGGTGATTGCATGTTTTTTATTTGCTGTTTTCAAAAAATATTTTGGCGTCAAAACATTGTAAATATCAAAGAGGGTAGATAATTTTTGCGTCCCTTGCTATAGTCGTGATACATTTACATGCTTGTACTGTGTCCCAAAGAGTTTGTTTCAGGGTGTAGTTTTATGGCTAACAAATTGTGCTGATTTAACCCTCGCCCGCACATGGGGGGGGGGTTGCCACCCCCCCCAGGTAGTCTTTCTGCTCTGCACTCAACATTTTTAGAGTTAGAAGGCTGATTTTTCGTATAGCTGCTCCTCTATCCTTTCTTGATGTCCACTGAAAATTTCAAGTTTCTGTGATTTTTGGTTTCAGAGATATGACCTTGTTTTTCAGGTCATGTCATGACCCAAATGGCCAATTCTCAACATCTTGCGTTTGCCATGGGCCTTATGAGCTTTTGACACCCTGATTTCGGCATTTTTTGCCAGTCTTACCTCCCACCTATCATGGAACATGTTGTTCGACGATGTACAGGGGTCAAGGTCAGGGTCAAGGTCAACCTAGGTCATCTAAGATAATTGCGTTTTATGCAAGCTGAATTTACTTTTTTGAAGTTTTTTGACTGCATTCTTGAAAAAAGCTTCTCAGATCATGATTTCATGTAATATGGACCCAAAAACAATCGGTGCACACATCAGTATACACACAGACACACACAGACATACAAACACATATAATTGACTTTGACCTAACTTGACCTGAAATGACCTCAGCAGCAAAATTCTGGTCGGGTAGTGTGACAAAGAGGTTCTAGCTGGCTTGGCACCAGAAAACAGCATCGCCATTGGTATTTGATAAGCAGCACACTTGATATCCAACGGTGACCCAAAACAGCAACATTTTTTAGTTTGACCTGACCTGGAAGGTCAATGACTGACCTGAGAAGGTAAAACTGGGTATCATTGGATTCGTCTCTTCCCAAAGAATCTTATTCGTCTTTACTGCTAAGCTCTATCTCCAACAGGAACGAAATGGCGCGGGGGGTGGCAACCCCCCCCCCCCCCCATGTGCGTTCTAGGATGGGAAAATGGCATGTGCGGGCGAGGGTTAACCCTCGCACGACCAGGCCATTTCTCATAACACGAACGACCAGGGGGGGGGGGTTGTTACGACCCCCCCCCTGGCGTTTCGAAACGGAAGGTCGTAGAGCTTAGCAGAAAAAACCAACGGATTGCTCTCAACGAGATCTCGCGATTGGTGGTATATTTTTTGGTCCTAGGTCAACATTTGACCTACTTATGACCGGTCAAAGGTCAAATTTTCCGAAAAAATCAAACTTTTTCAACTTTCCGCGGCGATTGCGGCTAAACGGTGGGAGATATCGACTTGAAACCTTCACTATCGTGTTCCTTGATCAATTCTCTATCGTTTGGTATGTATTTCGTTTCCCTAGCTCTAAAAATGGCGCGTTGGGAGCGCCGGAAGTCGGCAAGGTCACAGTCGGCGGCAGAAATTCGAAAAATCAAAATTTAAATTTTTGAAATCTGATTGTATTTTTGGATTTGGGAGGTCCATTTGCTCCCTATAGAAGCTAATATTGCTGCATATTCCCTTTGAGGTGACAAGAATTAGCAAAATAGTGGTTCGGGCGCTTTTCAAAAATAGTACCGGACGCTGTTCCTCTTGTGACGTCATAGCTCCGTGACCTGACCTGACCCGGTCAATTTTCTTGCACCACACGATAGCCAATGCTTGCCCCAACATGCATGGGAAGTTTCATCATGATCCATCAAACAATGTGGGTATCACCGGCAGAAAACCTAGGGATTCGGCGCACACGTTTGGTAACTGTCGGCCGGAGGCTGTACCTCTTATGACGTCATAACTCCGTGACCTGACATGACCCGATCAATCTTTTTTCGGCAAAAGATGCGCAAAGGTTGCCCCAGAGGGTATTGAAAATTTCAGTCCGCTACGACAAGCCGTTTAGCGTGCACTTCGAAAAAACCTCAGGGGGGGGGGGGTTGATACAACCCCCCCCCCTAGGCGTTCTAGGGTTAATGTTACTTCGGTACCTTGGGGTAAGATGCCCCCTGTCCTGATGGGGAAAGACGCCCCCCTAAATCCGTAGGCTTTCCTTCAAGCAGCCCGTCAAATCATTTATTACGTACTTGTGATGAGAGACAAAAGCCGATCTGGGACTATTGAGAGTCCGGTACGGTCGGGTGCTCCCCATGCCGGTTTCTCGGCCCACACAGCGACTTTTTGGGCGGCATCTGACTCTGAGAGCCCTCACGACGGCCTCTGTGGACCCCATTATTGGCTCCAGGGCTCCTCACGACATCCTTTGAGGGCTCCCACGTTGGCTCCACGGGCCGCGCTGGCATCTGAGGTCCCCACGATGGGCTCGAGGGCCCTCAAGCATGATGAAGACCTATAAGGGCCCCACAGCGGTCTCCGAACGCCACCACGGAGGCTTGTTTGGCCACGCTGGACTATGATGGCCCTAACGATGACCTCTAAAGCCCCTTACGACTACTTTTGAGGGCCCTTACGATGACGTTTGGTGTCTACTGCAGGCTCGAAGGGACTACTGATTAGTTCAGGCGATTCACGTGCCCATTTATGCCACTTATAGTGCAGGGGGGCATCTTACCCAACGCCAGGGGGCGTCTTTTCCACCCTGTGGGTTAAGATGCCCCCTTTCACTTCTTCAGGAAAATGCTTAATAGCAAAAAAAGTTATCATATTTCAGGCACGAAAGTGTGATATTTTTGGAGAAAAATGATGTCGGCTTCCGTTGAGACTCCAAGTTTTGGCTTTCCGATCGTCATTTTCGAATAATAAATGACATAGTCAAACCCTGGGCATCTTTCCTCACTCTCCCCTACCTAGGCGGTATTACCAATTTCCTTTTCTCCGATCAGGAGAGGCTCATATTAGCACAGCAAGGAAGGAAATTGGGATAAATTGATGAAGCAGTAAAACAGCTATGCAATTGCAGGTTACCACCATTCAACCCAGCTCAAAGTCTCTCTGTCAGCCAATTGCCACGTGGGAGACTTCATGCTAAGCTTTTACAGTTTGCACCTCAAAGCAACATACGAATATGATGCAGAGATCACTTTTGTTGGTGCCGATGAACGATTCCAATAGAGAAGTCTGACTCAATCTGTGCAGTAATTTAATTCACGAAATTAAGCAAATCTACTCTGAAGAATCGCACCAGGCTTAGCGCGACATTTCCAAAGGAGCGCTAGTTCAAAGCAAGTGAGATAATGCAATGAACTGGAGGACAATGCCAGCACATCAGCGCTAGAGTAGGCAGCATGGCGCCGCTCTAGTGCAGTGACAACCGATAAAATCAGCACAGTCGGCCTTTTTTATCAGTCCCCACTGCATGGTATCTCTACCTAGCGTGCATGGTAAGAGGAATCAAACAATATTATATGCATGCATTTTCACATCGAGGAACTGTTCGTGATTCGGGCTGATTAAGTTAAGCGTTGCTCAAATAATCTGTCGATTTTTTTTCTTTTTTGCAAAGCGGGGCTAGACCACTGCAGTCCCTTTTTTAGGGGGGGGGGGGGGGGAGGAGAGAATAGAAGGCAAAAACTTGTTCCTTACCGGGCTGTTCGTGCCAGGGCCACTCGTGGTCGTATGCAGGCTCGGGGCTGTAGCGTTCGTCGCTGTACCCATGACTTCCATCCAAATACCAGGTCATTATGAAGTTATCACCACTGCACTGCTCCCTGTCACCTTTGACACACAGCTCGCCGCCCGCCCTGCGCCGGTGACACCGCCCTGTCCTCTCCCCGGGCCGCCAGCGCCGACACTGTCCTCCGCCCCGCCCAGGGGACAGCCACCTACCCTCATTAGGGGGCACCCCGGCCCCTCGCCAGAGCGGCCGCCCCAGCCAGTTGACCGGGTCGCCGCTAGGGGCGCCACTATCGCGCTAACGAGCAGGCAGTGGCCCGAGGCGGCGGTGGAGGGGGTGGAGGGGGTGGTCAGCTCATTACCCACTGTCCGGCAGGAGGGGGGAGGGGACCGTCGGCTGCCCTCTCCCGTACTAATCCCGGCAGACGGCGGTCGGTTCCGGACTCGGTTAGTCCGCCATTACCACTGCCCCGCCGCCGGAACCGAGTGCATTGTAACAGAGTGCTACAGGCGCCGATTTACATATGGACGCTCTCCTTCATTAATGCAGATGCAAGGTGGTGCGGCGTCCTAATTGTTGTTCTCTATTGACCACGCTATTATGTTCGTATGGTTTGGGGCGCAATGGCTGTGTCAAATGTGACAGTAGTGTCTTCGGCATTAGTTTTATCTGACGTTCAAGAGTGGACATGCTAAGTAGGCGTCTAAAGACCGGCGTATATTAGTGTAGTCGACATGCCTCGGATGGTTAAGCGCATTAAGGACGAGCAGAAATGGGCCTGACAAAGAGCTGTTGAGCACATTTGGCTAGAATCAACTCCACAAATGCAGTGTGAGATGACGCTATTAAAGCGTGCTATAAGCCAGCTACTCGAGTCTGATACAGCTTTCAGTTGTGACAATCTTACCGACTCTCAAGAAACGTTGCGGCGCGAAAAAAGTTACCTGCCTAAGTTACGAAAAATACCCGCCTTCATGCACAGCGTTTAAACGCTACCGCCTACCAAATAATGGTTCCAAACCATCAGGATACGAGCAACTTGGACTATACAGAGTTATTTCCATATTCCAGACCACATGCTAGACCCGACCAAATGTCTGTCACCTGAAGAAGCGACCAGATATCAGACAACATACATATGTGACGTACATACGCATATTGCATGTTGTTTGTGATGTTTTTTTTTTAGTGCAGCGGCACATCACACGTCATTACCCATAATTGCTTCATTCTGCGAAGACCAGTTTGTGGAAACTAAATATTGCACTGTCCATACCTTGGCATGGCCAACGAGCAGTCAGGACACGGCACTCGGCACAAACAAGGTTATCCCTCTGTTAACATTCGATAGACAAGACTCATATTATACGCATCTATCCATGCTATTAGCAACTGACACTGATACCTACCTCCAGGCTCCACCCGTTCATCGCATTCACTAGTGAAAACACCATAAAAAGGTAAAACATGTAGCTCACCCTTCGCTCATCAATCGCATTACACAATTTCATACCCTACCATCAGCACAAAAGTGGTATTTCAGGTTCGCACATCTATAACCGGGCACTGTGCGGCTCATTAGCAGAGTTGCGCTGGTCTGGGCCTGTCGCGGTTTCCGGGGCGGGCCGCTGGACCGGCCGGCGGAGCGTGCAGGGCCCGTGTGTCCCGACAGGTAGTCGATAGGAGCTCCCATTGGGTGTCCGGGTTATGGGCGACCCGGCCGGCGACACCGGCACACCGCCCCAGCCCGGCACGTCCGCGCTGATTTTATTGACTGGCTAATGGCTCCCAGTTTAGAATAGGGCAATGGGCTCGCAGTTTGTCGGTGACTGGACCAGACGTGATTCGGTCTTTTGGTGGAACGTGCAATGGTGCCAATGGTTTTTGTAAGCCATGGACTGATCCATTATAATTGGGCTTTATTGTGTTTTTCGGGTAGTAGGTACATATTGATGCCTGCTGTCGGTACACAATCATTTTTTGGCATGACCTTCATAAGGCCAATGGCGACATTGCCCATTTATCATTTATCTGTGACTCTTTCCTTGATAATATCGTCATTCATGAGGAGACGATAATGCATTTATAAGCGCAACTGCTTTCTGCCGATAGCATCTAGCGAACTTCCATCCTTATAATTTCTGTGCTACCTATTTGTCCTCGTATTTTCTGCATTTGTTACCACCATTTTTGCTTTTAACTACATGCATAGTCGCTCATGAAGAGGTGATCCAGAGCAAGAGTATCAGGGGTGTCTCAAACTGCTAAAAAAAAGAGAAACAGAAGCAAGAAGAGGTTGGAGAGTACAGACTGGAGAGGAACGATAAGGTGTACAAGTTTGATTTCAACAAGTAGCAAGGTGCAAGTCGTAAATACTGGATTCATAATTGAAATGATCCGATATTTTTTTACGGTTAGGGGTATGCGGGTAATGCGAGTTAAACCCTGGAGGGTAATGAATGTTTTCCAAGCGACCACCAACGGCATACATTGCTGCGGCATTCTGGCAACACTTTTTTCTCATCCGCATTATCCAATGAATCGATGACACGCACTTCACAGAATCTGCACGCACGCGAGCCTCTCCCCCTTTCTTATCGTTCAAGTCGCCATATTTTTCGTCGCCAGCAACGCAGGACGGCGAACTGATCGGTTCGACTCTGAATATTTCCGTTGTGATCGATCGGCCGCGGCGCCGGCCGCGTGCGGTTGTCGCCACGCTCAGGGCGCGCGCCACCCAGTGCAGCGCCGCCGGCCGCTGACGACATAACGCAATCAGTTGGGAGCTGATGACGTGCGTCAGCTCGCTGATGCCGTCACCGGTATTGGTTTATCCGGGGACGGCGCTGGCGGCTCGCAGGCGGCGGCCGCCTCCGCGCTCCCGGCCGTCACACATCCTATTAGACTGTGTTACGGAGGTGTACAGCCGTCAATCAGGGCATTGGGGGAGCCGCGGTTGGCTCTATTTTCATCTGAGGTGAGCAGGTCAGGGTAACTGCCGGCAGTGCCGGCAGGGAATTACATCATACAATACAAAACAGGGCATATACAATACCGAGTAGGTACTGACTAAATACATACCACTAGTTACATAGTCTTCAAAATTTTGTGTACAGAAAAATTGATTGCTATCCAATTTACTATTCATGTTCTGTTTTATGTCTGTCTCGGCAATATCTGTGATATACCCGTCTGTAAAAGCATCAGGTAATAATACAAAATAATGGAAAAATGATTGCAATCATGAAAGTAACGCTATCATCGGCACCAGTTTACTTAAAAGTTAGTTTTGAATGTATGTGTTACGAATATACTTATTCTGCATGCATAATTCGATATGCACATGACATAGTAAACATAATCATTATATTGTATGTCGTCATCATTCCGTAATCTGGACATTATCGCAGCCGGTTTAATGAGGCGTCTGACCTTTGGGGAGCGGGGCTCGGTAGCTCGTCGGTGTCCGCGGCGCGTGCCGGATTTCCGGGCAAGGGCACGCCGAATTACGGGTGAAAGGGACCCTGGAGTCTAGCGGGATGACTGCGATCTACAGGCTGTTGACGCTGTGGTGTTAGACTCGGTCAATACGGAGTCCGAGGCTGAGCAAAATGATTCGGAGTCGATTATCACGTGTAAGGCACGTGACTGTCGGAATCTGGAATAGGCAAGGATTAGTCTTTAAGATTTCGCGGAGATATTGATGTCAGAGTCCGGTGGTAAAAGAGCCAGCCGCAGTCGAGCGGAAGCGGAAGCCGCGCCAGATTTGAGCACTGTCAGCCGACATCCGGTGGCTGGCCGCAGTGTTGACTCGGCGTGCTTGCTCTGAATGGGACGCACGCCGACTGCGCCGACGCCAGGGTCGGTATTAGTTCACCAAACAGAGCGGACCGCGGACCGCGCTCGTGTCAGGGTCAAGCTGACCGCGGCTCCCTCCCTCCCTCAGGGAACACGTCGCGCTGGCTGGAGACGGGCAGAGATCAGCCAACCTCTCATCCGGCCCCGGGCGGCACCGAGCGAGCGCTGAGAGTTGAGCCAAGTACGGCGGCCGATTTTCCGCCTCCAAAGGACGCGTTAGCCCAGGAAGGCGTGAAGTGAACCGTGAGACAGTGCCGGCCACGTGGCGAACCTCTCTCCCTCTGTCCCTCCCTCCCTCCCTCCATCTCTCTCTCTCTCTCTCTCTCTCTCTCTCTCTCTCTCTCTCTCTCTCTCTCTCTCTCTCTCTCTCTCTCTCTCTCTCTCTCTCTCTCTCTCTCCCTCTCTCTCTCTCTCTCTCTCTCCGATGATCACGGGGAGTCCCGTTCTACGACGGCGCTCAGACTCTCCGCAAAACACCGGACTGATTTCCGCCCCGACCGGATTGCGTTGCTGTCTCACCAGACCACGGATTGCGTTGTTGTCTCACCAGGTTCCCGGCTGGGGAGCCTGGCGCGTGTTGAACACCAAATGAAATAACACAGCCAGCCCTCACTTCGCTCTCACCAAAGCAGGGCCCCTAGGCTGCCATGATCGCCACACGAGGGAGTAGGTACATACACATATTCGACTCCACCAGTCCATCAGTATTCTGGCGGGAGATGCCGCTTCCTGAACCACACGTGGATGATCCACCCCCATCCTAGCTACGAGCAAGGGGTCGCCAGCACCACTCCTAGCTGCGCGGGAGTCCCCAGCGCGGGGCCCGCACCTGCCCCGCTGATGGCACCGGCTGGCGATAAACGACACCCATCAGCCGGCTGAACATGTTGGCTGCCCGGGCGCGCCGCGCCGATTTGGTCGCCGCGCCGGATTGGTCGATTTGACCGGGCTGGATGAGGCGGCTCGCGCCGATACTGGCGTCCAACGAGCCCCCTAATCGGCGCACAGCCAACTGCGCGCACTTACAGGGCAATGGGGCCGAATTCCGGCGCGAATCGTGCCAGGCCGCGCCAATATCAGGTCATGTCACCGGTCACTGGGCACTGGCAGCGTTTTAGTGTGGTGAGAATTGCTAGCGGAAAGACGGTGAATTTACGGATAAAGCTGTACGGCGTAGATTTCTTTTTGTTATCGTCCGGACTCCGGTCTATCTTTATTTGATCATGATCCTAATAGCCAGACAATATGTTTGATAGGGCGCATAATAAAATATGTAATAATGTTCCTTAGCCACTTTTCTTCGGGTATTTTTCTAAAAGCGCGCCAAAAGTTTCACAATCGACGTGTAAGAATAA